CCCCCGGGCCCTCTGCTCGATTACCGCAGCACCGTGGGGCACATCCAAGAGATCTCCTCCTACCAAGCCGATTACTGGGCCTGTGCCATTCCGGATTCACTGCCCCCATCTCCGGACCGCAGCTCACCCCACTGGAACCCCAACAAAGAGTACGAGGACTTGCTGGACTACGCTTACCCGCTGAAGCCGAGGTACAAGCTGGGAAGGATGCCAGAGCCTTTCCTACATGACTCAGGAATAGGTCTGGACAGCTTTCCTACTTCTCCTGAGGGCATGTCCAGGTCCACCAGCATCTACGGCCGAGCTGGGCAGGCTCGGGGAAACAGAGAAAACGGACTTTGGGAGTTTGTGGCCTCTGCAGAGAGATTGAGATTCTCCACCCCGAGGCCTGGAAAAAGAGGCTGCTCAGGAGCTGGCTCGTACTATGAACCTTTACCTGTTGCCAAAGCATCATTTGCAAGAAGTGCTTCCTCTCATCCTTCCCGAGGTTTTGCTCAGGATGTAAGGGTGGAATCATCTGGGCCGAACTCACCTGGGGCCCCTGCTGCCAATGGGAGAAGCTGGGATACCACAGGAAGCCCCTGCCCAAACTACACAGGGCAGGTGAAAAGCACCAGTAGGTTTTTACCCATCACAGGAGTGCTGCCCCTGAGGAAGGAGTGGGAGGGTGATGAAGAATTTCTTTCCCTGCCTCCGAGACTGCAGGAGCTGGAAAGGCTCGCTCAGTTTTTGTCCAATCTTTCCTTAACTATAAGGACGCCCGGGCATGACCACCATAACCTTCCACATCACAGCACCAGCAAACAGCCCCTTTCATCCAGGCTGGCTCCTTTTGGAGAAGTGAGAGGTGGGGGTGACAGAGGGAATACTGAGGGTTATGCTGGGCTGTGGCAACACCACAGCTCCCGAAAGCCCAGCTGTGAAAACACAGAATCTGATGGCTGGATCCATAGGGATCCTCCCCGTGGGCTTCATCTACCAACTGGTCTCAGGGACACATTGGATGGGATGTGCCTAAATGAACCACGGGTCAGAGGGCATCCAAAGAAGAGCCAGCAGAGCGAGTCCCTTATCCAGTGTGTTAAGGTAGGCTGAGACCAGAAATAAAGTTTATTCTGGGAAGATCTTGCATAAAATGTGCCTGTCTTTATGGCATGATTAATTAAATCTTCTCATTCTGCATGATGTGTCCTGCCTGGCAGCTGGTGGTAATTTATGCAGGGGGGCTCACCAGAGCAGATAATTCCTTCTGATGGAGCAAGAGCCTGCTTTCCCTGGGGCTCAGTGTCACAGGCCAGGATGGGTGGAGATGTGTTATTCAGCTGGGTCCCCCATCCCACCTGCAGTCCTGCAGCACTGCTGCACCAGGCAGGAGCTGCAACAACTCTGAAGGGTTTCCTGATTATTTTGTGGATTATTAAATTTGTCCCAACACTGTGCTCCCACCCTCCTCTCCATCTTCTTCCCACCCCAGTGCTGGGACAAATTTGGAAATGATGCTAGGCTGTTTGCACAAGAATGTTATCATGCTCATAAGCTGCAAACTCATCCCCTCCTCTGGTATGGAAATAACTCTGCTGTTTTAAAAGGGTCTTCTCTGTATTTGTCATGCCCAATTGCAGTGCCAGGGAAAAGCACTGCTTTATGGCAAACTCCTGAGGAGCAGGAGCAGGTCTTAAGCCTGATTTTGGTGCCAGCAGAGGCCCCTGGGTTTCATGCAGCATCTTAGAAAAATAATCCCTTACCGAGACACTTTATAAATAAATGAAAGCACTTAATTGAACGAGACAATCCCTTGGGGAAAAGCAACTGCAAATTAACTGTATGGCTCTGGTGAGGAGGCAAACGAGGATATCTCTTGGGCTGGGAGGTGGTAGAGGCCAACCTCTTCCTTCAGTCTGGGTTTTACCAGTCTACAGCACCTCTCCAAGCAGACATTTCATGGTGGCCCTCAATTCTTGCCACACAATGAGTGCTGGAGCTGTTCAGGAGTTTAAGTTAATTTTTGCCTTTTTCCCGTTGACCCTTGGTTTCCCAGCCTTAGGTATGTGTGCCAGGGCTGGTGAGGAAAAGGGAATAGGTGCTTTCCAAAACACCACTGGCTCACATTTTCATGTCCCTGCACCGTCTCTGTTGCAGAAATAGATCCATGACCCCTTTTTTATGCTTTGTTGAGCAGATGTTTTGCTGCCAGCTGGAAGAGCTGATCCATTGGCTGTACACTGTGGTGGATGTCACAGGCAGCTGGGTGCCACCCTCACCGGATGCCAAGAGCGTGTTGGCATCGCTGCACCGCTACCTGGTGGGTGTCACCCTTGCTCTGCTTCCTCCCCTCTCCTGTGCTGCAGGCAGCAAGCAGTGGGAAGCCAGGTGTCACTGGAATGGTCCAGGGTGCACCGGGTTTGCAAAGCCAAATTTGGGAGCACTAGGAACCTGCTTGGAGGAAACTACTGCCTGGGCAAGCTGCCACAGGTGTACATGTCAAAACCCTTCTAAGAAATGCTGCTCTTCTCCTTGCCTTGCCAGGAGTTCAGGAAAGATGTGGCTGACCACCGGAGCCTGACTGAGAGCGTGCTGGAGAGGGGAGAAGCTCTGCTGGACTGCATGGCATCGAATTCACCAGGTGAGGAGGAGCACTTGTACGGGGCTGCTCATGGACACAAGTGGTGCTGGCCAAGGCATCTGCCCCCCAAAATCCCTGTCCCAGCCTGGCCAGCACCACAGCACATGTGGAGTGGTTACTCTGGTGATTTAGAAGGGATTTCGAAAGGGTGAGCTGTAGCTGCAGTCACCAAAGGGGCTTTAGAGGTTGAATGCTGCATTATGGATGGGTTTTCTTGCACAGTTCCAAAGGTTTTCTTTAAGACCCCCTATTTTTGCATCTTCATGATGAACCTGGAGCCTCCTGGGTCAGTCCCCACCCCCTGCAAATGCTGCATCACAATGAGGATGGGATGAACAGCATATTATTGATTTTTAACACTTGGTTTCTTTCCAAAGTCTGCCTGGACAAGCAGAACTCTCAGCTCTGAGACTGAATTACCGCATTCCTGTCACCTCCATTGAGACATTTTTGCTTTCCAGCTCTGAAAGACACGCTGGGTTTGATTGCCAAACAGTCGGAAGAGCTTGAAAGCCACGCGGAGCACCTGTACAAGTCCATCCTGGCAGCTGTGGGCAAGGATGCGGGGCAGGACAAGGGGGCTGCAGCACGCGGCTGCTCCCTGGGTAAGCAGGGGCAAACCAGCCTTGCTGCAGTGGGCAAAGAGGAAGAGAAATACTCGAATTAGCAAACCCCAAACATCAGGCTCCATCGTTATTTCTTTGATTCTGTTTGGAAAGCCTGAGAAGGCAGCAGGGAGGCTCAAAATAGATGTCCTGTCGTGTTTAACCATGTCAGGGAGAGAGCAGTGCGGGTGAACCAGCTGATGAAACCCAAGAGCACGAGGGGAGCAATGGCAGCTCTGCTCTGCAGGGACCCAGCAGGCAGGTCCCTGTCACTCAGGGCTGGGGGACGGCAGCAGTCCAGCACAGACACCTGCTCTCCCCAGATCCCTTGCACAGCACAGGGGAGGTGAGGAAGGGATATTTTTTGGTTTTGTATTTTCTCAGAAACGTTCTGGTTGCTGTATAATGGTGGGAAAGGGAAGCAAGTTATTTCAGGTATATTATAGGGGCAAGAAAACTTGTTTGCTTATTTCTTGACCATCTCCCTTCAAAGAAAACTGGAGACAAGTGTTTCAGGGCTGTCAGCCTCTTAGAAGAGAAAAGCAGTGTCTTAAGTAGTGTTTGGTTTGTTGTGGTTTTTGAATTGCTGTCTCTACCCAGCTTGTACCCTCTGAACTGGTGAGATGGGGACCAGAGCTTGGGAGTTTCTCTCTTTGCCAGACTGCAGGCAAAGCACAGCACCAAACACCTCATTTTATTGCAGGTGCTGCCTCTGTCAGACCTAGGCTGCGTTAACCCACCTCAGGAGGGCCGAGAAGAATTGCAGCAAGTCCCAAACCACCTCCATCACCTCTCCAGAGATGCCAAAATCTGTGTCCACAGTTTCCCAAGGGGCTGATTTCAGCGTGGGTTTGTGCCATGGCTTGAGAAAGGTGCGCTGTACAGCGAGTGTGCTGTGATGTCCAGAGCTGTGTAAGGAATGTACAGCTGGCCTTTTCTGGTTTGTTTTTTTAACATAGCTTCCCTTTTTTTATTGAAGTGGGCTGTTCTGTGTTAGCAAAACGTCAGGAACAGTTTTTAAACTGAGCAATCCGTAGTGTGCCGTGAGCTCGCTAAGTAAAGCCGTGTGATTTTAATAGCCCTGTTCTCATGGTTTGTTTATGCTCGTCAAAAATAGGTGTGAGAAGCCAAGAAATAGCAACCCCTTCTGGTTCTTGGGAGCAAACTGAAGGCCTGTTTATAATACCACTCCCCGCTGAAGCAGAGCCTGCTTAACTTTCCATTTTGTTATTCATAAACACAAAAAGCCGTAAGACTGAATCCAAATAAAATGATAAACAGGAGAGTTCAGGCAGGGAGGAGCCAGGTTCTGTGTAACCTGCTGGTACCTGCTGCTGGCAGGAGCTGTGTCAGTGCTGTGCTGGTTTCCCAGGGTGAAGAGTTGTGCCTTCCCCCTTTCCAGCTACTGCAGTTAAATCACTGCTCAGAACATTCATCACGGGTTTCCAAACCCCTTCTCCAACAGGAAAAGGGCAGCTCTGAAGCAGCATAAGGTAAGTGGCCAAAAAAAGTTAGTGTTGGTACTTGGCTTTAATTAACCTTTAACCTGAGTGGTGATCATTCTTGTGCAGAATACATTTCCTCCCATTCCTGTGAACAGAACACGGAGAAGTTTCTGTTCTGCACAAGTAGGTTCTGCACAAGTGAAAGCAAAGTTAAACTGAAGCAGTTATGGCAAATAATTCATTGTGGTTTGGGGGGGTGGATGTTCTCCCATGTTCTACATCCTCAGCTTGAAGGGCAAGTTTCTTTGGCCCAGTGCCAAAAGTATTCAATATCTGAGCTCACGGGTAAGAAACTACAGTGCCTTTTTCCGTGAGTTTTAGGCTTGCTCTACTCTCCTCACACAGCTCAGCCTGACAACCCCAGGCTTCAGCATGGAACAGCACCAGCCCAGTGACCCAGTTGTGACTGAGGGGGAAACAAAGAACCACCAAACACCTGGTGTAGCCCAACTGGTTTTGCAATGCTTTTATTACTGTATATATTAACATTGGTTTGGATAGTATGTAGCAGGCATCTCGACATTGAAGTTCATTTGTGCACTCTCTGCAGGGAATATGTTTTACCCTCAACACACCTCCTTCTGCTTCACTTCCTGATCTCAGCAGTGCTCACTGCTCCTTCTGCTCCTGAGGAGCAGCAGGTCACATTTATAATGAATTATACCAACAAGCACATCTCTACTAGAAAGCACATCACTTTATTGTGAAGGTCTCAAGTGGAAGAGTTCAACTTAACCATGACAATACTTTATGTATTACAATTGCCTGTTGATTTATGCAACTATGTTGAAGAAAGCTGTTAGCCAAAGTCACCCCCCCCCCCAAAAAAAATCAGAGGATATTTGCACCAGTTTTAGTTTATACCTCACAACATACCTAGGCTATATTTTTACTATCACAGGGTGTATTTACTACTAGGGGAATGTTACATGGTCTTTCAAACATGAGGCTATTTACAGAATAGGCTGAACATTTGAGTTTAGATAAAGCTGAACAATTTTACATGTATAGGAAGTGTTATAGGCTAGCTTTCCTGTGGCTTTTAGCTAGACATCAGGCACTAATGATTTGATTAGCTCTGTACAAAGAATCACACACCATCCAAAACCTCTTGGCTGCTGGTTAGTTCCAAATTGTTTGAGAAAGCGCCTGCTTTGAGCAACAGTTTGGTGGGGGCCTTGCTATCCCCATGTCACCCTCCTGGTGCCTCGCTGCAGAAGGGAATAGAAGCTAAGCTGTTGCACTAAATCAGAAGATACTGATTAAAAGAGGATGGAATTAACAGTATATAGAAAAGACATAATATACTGGTAGAAAGTTATACCTCCTCAAGGTTACACTGAAATCATTCACGTTAGGGAAATACTGTTCTATCCCCTGCTATGCAAAACCGACGGGAATTCCCTACCTCGAGTCCTTGAGAAATAAATTAAGTTCCAAGACTAAGTTTAGGGAACTGTTGTACATTCAGAGTGCGTTATGCCTCATGAACCTTGGCTGGGTGTTTCTGGTACAGCACTCGTGCCTTAAGCACCAAGACAGCTCAGGCTTTGGGGCCACAGTCACTGGGTGAGTTGCAGGGAAGGTCTGAGAGCCATGGCTGCACACATAGATATGTTGTTTTGTGCACAATGCAAGCCTGATTTCCCCCTTAGCCATACAAATTAAGACAATATTTATCACCATACAGTTTGATATTACTTCCAATAAGTACAATATTTATTAAACATTTCTTCAGTTTTGTTACATATTGTGCAACAAATTACAATATTCTGCAGCCACAAATTATATGCAGAGTATGAAGAAACTATTAATCAGATAGTGTGATCTCTCCATTTATAATTCTACAAGAAGGAACTAGCAAATCAGATCTTACATATATCTTACTAAATTTTATGCATGGAAAGTGACAGACACTGTTGTGCTGTTTGATACAAAATGGCTAAACTTCATCTTCAGAAGACTAAACCTGACATCTAAACATGCCAATAGAAACATCAAAACAAAAATACATCCTAACCAACCACAGGAAACAGTCTGGTATCAGGAAAAGCAACAAGGATTACACGTTTATAAACCAGCACACAAAGGTTTAAAACAGTTCTGAAAATGAAGTTAGCTGTCTTGAGTCAAGGGAATAAAAAAAGTCAGTATTGACCATTTACAATCTCTGACCTTTGTGGAGACGGTAAGAATCTGTTGTAGTGCAGCTACATACAGTACAATTCAGGCAATTTTTTTTTTTTCACTTGGGTTCAGATTGCAAATTCATTGTTGTGAGACAAAAGGGGGGAGGCAAGTTTTAGCAGCAACCTCCACTAGACTGCTTGACTGGAGTGCTCTGAATTTTAACATTGGACTTCTCTGCACCACCAGCTGTCGCTCCCGGACCCATTCGTTTTTTAATCTCGGCAGCCATGGTCATGAAAGACTGTTCTACATTTGTGGCATTCTTTGCACTGGTTTCCAAAAACGGAATTCCAAGAGAATCTGCAAATTCCTGCAAATCGAGAAACAGTGAACAGTAAGCTCATACTGCAGGTTCCTGGATCCCTCCCCACACCCCATCTCCAGTCTGAGGATGATTTGCAGGGCAGGGGGTCATTAAACTGCCCCCATTTGTGGCACCAGGACACCTCTCTGCACTGGAACATCGGTGCATGACAAACCCAAGCAGGGGCTCAGCCAAGCAAACACATGAGCCCAAACATACCTTTGCTGTTGTATAGTCTACTACTTTCTTTGTGGTCAGATCACACTTGTTCCCCACCAACAACTTGTTGACGTTTTCACTGGCATAACGGTCTATCTCCTGCAGCCACTGCTTGACATTATTGAAAGACTCCTAGGAGATAAGAAATCTGTAAGCAAGGCCCTTGACAAAGAGCAAAGTTCAGCACTATTCCTTTGGTCATGACCAGGAAAGAGCAGGAAGAACTGCACTTATCCATGTGATTCACAACCATGGGAGAGGACCCTCTAATGCTGCCCAGCTCTCCTGATGGCCCCAGGACAGGTCAGTCACCACAGGGCCCATAGAGCTCCCGTTCCCAGCCCTACACAATCAGCCCTTCCTGCACTCTTCCCCCTGTCATTTTTCCCTGCTCCATATATTGAACAGTCAACATCTTCGACCACCTGGGACTCTCCTTCCTCCTCCTGTAGCAGAGATAAGAGACACGGCACACAGCTGAAAATAGATACATCCTACATATTTACAAAGCATCAGGTATTAGGTGCAAGCCACCTTGTTGCAGATATGCTGGAACAACCTCTGACTCCAGAAATGCTGGACTGATATTCCAGTTGTTGACTGAACACAAGCGTTCTTTTTCTATTAATTCAGGAAACCCTATACTTCCCAAGTGCCCTTCAAACAACTGCACCATTTCTTCAGAGACCCTTTCAGAGAAAACACTGGCTCAGTTGTATCCTGCACACAGGCTGACAGTTTTCTGTTCCAAATGCCGGTCTTCACTGCAGACCACAGTTCAAGTACATTCAGAAATCTTTCAACATCTTCCATCAGTAACTCAGATTTCCTGCTACCAAAGGCAGGGTGAGATGTATTCACACAGAATAATCAGTTACCTGCTCACCAAATTTTAGGTTAAGCCTAAGATACAATTGCTTAGGAACCACAAATTCCACTGTTCTCTTTCTTTCTGTGTTTTATTGTATTTGCCAAACCAGAGGCAAACACACATACATTTAGCTTGGTAAGTCTTAACACAGCCTGTAGAACTGTGTCACTGTCTCCTTAGGATGTGCCCAGCTGTTAAAATTCCCAATTTACTCATCAGCCTGGAGAAACTCTGCAGGCACAGGTTTAACACGTACCTGATCTGTAACATCATACACAACTATGATGCCATGAGCTCCTCTATAGTAACTGGAAGTGATAGTCCGAAACCGCTCCTGTCCCGCCGTGTCCCACTGCAAGACAAGTGACAGGGTCAGCTCCTGCAGTGTGGCTGAGCCAGTGCTCTACATCAGCTTCCAGAAACACAGCTCAGCAGAGCAGCCATCCAACTACAACCACATCCATGCCACAGCTACAGCACTGCCTCTGAAGCTGTATGCATCAAACAGGATTTGAGATCATGTATTTTAACTGAGAATTACACTCTGTATGTCCTTTTCAAAAGTGCTCATTTGTTTGGTTTCAACCAAGTGTAGTCAAGAGATCTCTCTGGGGAAAACATTAAGCAGTTTTGACCCACGAAGCAGCCACGGTTCAGTGGTCAGAAGAGCAAACACACACCAGGACTTGAAAACCTGCTAGGAATAAGGTCAGGGAGCTGCAGGTCTCTAACATGACCACTCCCTTCAACTTTCTTGGCACACAGGCTTCAGCAAAGGTATTTAAAGGCAACAACTCAAGCCAAACTTGGTTCCCTTCTCCTGCTGTGAGAGTTAAGGAAGGACATAAGGTGCTTGACCTCTTCTCCCACCCAGGACATGAGCAGGACTCGCCCAAATATTTCTCTCCCTGGAGCTGTGTCAAGAACAGGGCTGGCTGTGTATTAAAAACAGACAGACAGATTTCAGCAGTGACAGCATTCCTAGTGGGCTGCTCTGTACTCAGGACAGTCACATTAGAGTCTGGAGGCTCAGGCTTCTGGCTGTAAGCTGGACTCTGCTCCACAACACTGAATCCCTGAGTCATTGCCTTCAAGTCCTGAGAGCCTCTGCTTGAGCTGGAAGCAGGGGCTGACAAGGATTGTCTGACCTTGCACAGATATTAGATTTCATCACACCAGTCACCCTTTTAGACTGCTTCAAGATTAAAGAATTGCCAAGTCTCTTCCCCTGTTTATTCCAAGTGAAAGGCCAAAAGCATAACCAGAAAACACTGCCCGGTGCTAAGGCAGCCAGGCCAGTTACAAGCCTTTGTATCAGTTTTTCCATTCAGGTCAACAAAAGCAGTTTCCAGCACTTAAGACAGTGCAGCCTGGTAGTAACAGCTGCTGTGGAATTCAGGCATCTTGGACAACTGTGTGGTATTCCTGCACTTACACAAATCCTGGCTAAATACTGCAGAACTGCACCAGTTTTGATATGAGGGCTCTCCAGCACAGAATCTCCTCTTCCAGGCAAACAGCCTTGATATTAAGCACCCTTCTTTAACGGCAGATTGTGGAAAATTTTGTGAAAACTGCCTCGCCTCTTGTAATGGGGAAAATATCCTCTATGTTTGAATGCATTTTAAAGTACAAAGATGACCACCAATAGCTATGGATATAACTCTATGCCCCAACAGACTGAGGCACACAGGAGTTGGTAAGTACTACTTACTATCTGAAGCTTGATTGTTTTCCCATCTAGTTCTATAGTTCTGATTTTGAAGTCCACACCAATCGTGCTGATGTAACTTTCTGTGTACGTGTCATCCTAGGAGAGAGAGTGAACATAAGTCAAGCCAGCTGCACTTCTTCTGCAGTCACCTACTTCATTATGCACCAATCAGACAAAAGAACTTAATTTCCTTGTAAAACCAGCCTGATGTCTCATGGCAAAGTCTTCCACCAAGTATTTACTTTTCAAAAATTCTGCACCTTTTAAAAGCACCAACCAGACTTGTGTTTCAAAAACCAGTCAAAAAAAGCCTCTTTTCTAGAAATCCTGTAATGTCAGTCCTTGTGAGCTGCAGCATAAAAAACAGTCTTTGCTTCAGACTGAAGAGTTACTTAGAATAACCACTTAGGTTATTGAAACACATTACATTTTTATTTTCCTTTGATGGCTCTTCGTCTGTGTTACACAGCAGCTACCTTGAACAAGTCAGAGGCTCTGTCTCAGTCACACATGAGTGTCAGATCCTCTGCTGCTGCAGCTGGTTGCTAAGGCAGGTTAGAGTTACAGCTGGAGTACTTGTGCTGAGGCCTCTGTTCTGCAGCCTGTGTCGATACAGGAAGGAAAACACTGCTTCAGCAGCTTGCAGGGACCTGGCTGCAGTCTCCAACAGGCCTTAAGGCACACAGGAACTGCTGGGTCAGCCTTTGCTACCTTCTAGTGATTGTCAGCTTGTCAGCATGAAGGAAGTTTCTATTCCTAAAGTACCCAAAGGACAGAACTTCAGGTACAATGTACCACAAAAGGCTTTATGCAACCAGTAGGTATCACAAAAGCAAGGGATTCCTCTGGGCTGTGAATGGAAGACATCTTAGGTAATACATCCAAGTAAGAATAAAGCATTAAGCCTTTCAGAATGACATGACATTTATTTCCTTAACACTTCAATACTCCAAAGGGCATGACTGAAGAGCCTGAAGATATTTAACCTACAGCAGCAAGAAAACACAGGTGTGGTATGCTGTGGTAATTCCTTATGTCACAGTAAAACAGCATAGTTGGAAAAACACATCTCAAGAGGAAAAGGCTATTCAGTTGAATAAACACCAGATAATAGAGCACAAACTTAAGTTTGCTATCAAAAAAGAAAAGTTGGATTATTCACATGAACCCAAAATAAATTTAAAAGTAACTGCAGGAGAAGCAGGCTAGACTGCTCTGAGAGTGCTGCTCCAGCTGTGGTGTCACTTCCAAACCACTGCCTCCATACTGTGAGCAGAGCAGGTGTTCATCCTGGTACCAACAGCAGCCACAAAGGCTTTAACTGAGGCTGTCTGTACACCCAGATCACCATTTCCTATTCAGAACATCAGGTACAACAGGCTCCTTCCAGAGGTGCCCAGAGGAATTTCTCAGGCTGTGAAAATGAAGCCATCATCTTGCAGTAGTGTCACACTCAAGTTTCTAAGTTCATGCCCCATATCCTGCTTCTCCTCCTCTCCTCCCATGGCAACGTAAAGCTGCACTTTGGCATAGACAGAGATAAGAAGTTCACTGGACTTCAGTTCTTTCTACTAAGAGCTGTCAAACCCATTTTACATTTTCGTGTCAGGAAAACTAGAGCCAGAACAGTTCACCAGCAAATATAACATTCACTAAAGAAAGTAGAAGGTCTTGTTATTCACAAGTATCATTTACATTATTTCTCTGACTAAACAACTGGTAGGTCTTTTTACTGCAGATATCAAACTTCATCTGGCTGAAATGTTCTTATCAAGAAGTAACTGATTAAGGTCTGTACTCCTCATGCCTAATGACACAGCCCCAGAATTCCTTCCATCCTCAGCATTCTACCACTACTGTAATGATGGAAGTTAAATTAGGGTAACTTGTTCTCAAGTAACAGAAAAATCAGAATTAACCTTAGCTGGACATATTATTGATGTTATTTCTTTCCAATTTAGTCAAACAATGAAATCAGACACAAATTCAGAAGACAGGAGGAGTTTGAAATGCTATAATTATTCTTTGGTATTACCAGGCCTGTCAGACATCAGCCCTGCTACCTGAAGGGAAGTTCTTGCTAAGTGCCTCTTTTACATAGTTGCCAAGCATGATCACTTACTGCAAACCTAAGTAGAAGGCAAGATTTCCCAACACCGGAGTCTCCAATCAGAAGTAGCTTGAATAAATAGTCACTGCAGAAGGAAAAAAAAAATTAGGTCACTTAATGAAAAACGCTGTCAAGAATGAAGTTCCTTACAGCCAGTATATTATGACTCTTGAGAAGGATAAATTAATTCACTGCTAGGGAAATCACCTACAACTCCAAGTTTCTATATTCGGTTTAGAAATTCACAATTGATTTGGTAAGAGAAGTATGAGGTAGATGCTCTGAACACAGCATTGTTGTGTGGAAGTGTGCCTTCCTGGCAAGTTACTCCCACAGTCCTACCTCAGCCCTTTGTGGTCTAGCTGAGATGAAAATCGTGCTTTGCAATTGAGTGCAAGCCCCCTTGTTTGGCTGAGTGACTCAAATAACACACAGGTGGTGGTAACAGCCTGCTGCCCTCCAGGGCCATTATCTTTGCTCTCTGGACTCAGAGGTTTGATTCCACTGCCCAGCTTCACCAACACCAGGGAGCTGCCAAACCCAGCCATTTCTTTCCTCATATTTAAGTTCCAGCAGAATGCAACAGCTCAACTGAATATCCACCTTCCACAACAGACTATGAGCAGTGACCACTACCACACCTGCCTTCCAGGAATTAAAGCAAAGCTCAAGTCATTTCCAGATGAGGATACATCTCTGGGGGATGGCAGGTGTGGTATTAGTAATTTTCAAGGTACAGTGGAAGAATTGACAAATCTTGTGCTTAATGTTGAGTCTTCCCAACATTAAAGAATAATCACAGTGTCACCAACCAGCCTACATTTACACTTCAAAGAGTAGTGAAGTTGGCAAAATATGAGTTTTTGTGTTAGTCCTAAAACTAATGGGGCAATTTCATGCTAGGGAACAAGTAACAGAGAAAAAAAAAACAAACCACCACTTACACTTATTCTGCTTCTCAAGTACTACACTAACCAATTCTCAGCTGACAACTCTTCAGCCCTGTAATGGCCAGGACCAAGTCCTGTTCCCACTTAACCACAACAGTTCTACAGCCATATTTTTATGCCCACTTAAGCAAGGCAAGTAAAGATTAAGGATATGTGAAGTGCCTGAAGTCAACTGTCCCCACCTATTACTCCCTAGAATCACCACTGCCTCTGGTTGGCAGGGATCCAGCTGGGAAACTGCATCCATCCCCAGCTGATAACAGCCAAGCAGATGGCCAACCACGGCTTCTCACCACTCCTCTGCTCAAGGGCCCAAGTGCCCCTCACCTGGCTGGGCCCAGGCTGTAGAACACACCCAGCTGAAACCTCCAGTCTCTGCAGCACTTCTGCCAAGCCTACAGAGGAGTCAGAGGTGCTAAATGTATAACTAATAACCCAATCCTTAAAATGCAACCTTTACTAACCTTTCCTAACAGTGTAAAAGCACTGAAGGCATAAAAAAAGAAAGTCAAAGGATGCCCAGCAGCTTACAGTCACAGAATTCACCACTCCACCTGTCAAGCCATGTACTACCACAGGGCAAGATGGCTTTAGGAAAATGACAATTAACCCAAACTTTCAGGGGATGTATGTTACATTACCCCACAATGCACACATCTCAGTAGGTTCAAGCTGCCTGAAGCACTGTTACAGACCAGAAAACTTCTCACCCCCAGTAACAGTTTGGTTCCTGAGGGCAGCAGAAACTCTGCAACCCAGAGACCAAGGAAAAGTAGGAGGGTTCCAGGACCCAGTCCACTGTTACACCTATGCCTTCATCCCCTCCACTGTGCCTCAGGCTTCACTCAGCTCCTTCCAACTCCAGCAGGAAGTTTGGGTTGCTCAGTCCCCCACAAACACAGAATTCTCAGCAATCCTGAACTCAAATTATTACTTTCAGCTTGCAGCATGTTATAATCCCCTTGAGAATATTAACACACGAATATTAGCACTGTATTGTCTTCATTAAAATTAGTGGGGAAAAAAGTATCTCCTTCCTGGCAGAGATAAGGCTTCAGCCGTAGGTCTGAGATCCACTTAAAAACCTCCACTTGCTTCCAAGAGTAATTCAGGTTTCCCCAGGCCCCAAACATGAAAACTGGTCTTCCTCTGTTACTCCTTGTGCTAAGAGCAGCTCCCAGCCAAACCTACCCATTAAATCTCTTAGTCTTCAGCAGAAAACAGGAACAGTAACAGTGTGTACACAGAACAAATGTTACGATAATACAACAAGAACTCAGAAGCCAACTGGGTTTGATACCTTTGCTATTCAGCTGTTCCCTCACTTTGGGCTTCAGTATTCCCAGAACCACAGAGACATACAGTGGTGTAAACCACCTGCCTCAGCCCCACCAAAACCAGAGCTAGCACCAGCACAGCTGGAAACAGCCTTTACCGAGTTAGCTCTGTCTCTGACCTTAGAAACGGGTGTTGTGTCACAAAAACCTAATTTTGGTGGTAAGACTTTCATCAGTTTGGGAATAATATAAGTAAGACTTTAGGAACTTAGGGTTTTAATTTTTTAGAACACTCCATATTCTAATATTATAGTTTTTTCCTTTCCAACTACAGCCTAAAGCCTTAAAAGATACAGCTCCCAAGACCTTTCAAAATATGGCAGGTGCCCATTTAGGGCCAAAAGAACCAAATGTGCAGTTTGTTAGAGTGCGATGCCTGAGACAGCTCTTGGGTATGGCAACAGTTTAAATCAAATAAAATTTGCAGAAACCTATTTCTAGACTGAGCTACACCAACAGAATATTTGGGCAAAGGGGTTCAACTGTAGCAATGCATCCAAAAAGCCACACATGTTATATGGTATTTACTCCTGAAGAGCCACACAAACATTTCTTAAGCCACTGAATTTTGCTCTTTTAACTTGGGATACTTAAAACTCATCATCTCCTCCAGTTTAGGGAGCCTTCATAAAGCTGGCTGAGCTATGCAGCACAGCCTTCTCCATGCTCCTTGGGAGACAGTGGGAATTCAGGTTAATCATTCAATTATTTGTCACCATTTACATAAGCCACTCATACTTGGGTTGTTTATAACAGCACACTGGAAGAGCATGTGCAGCAAGGTGGGTATGGTGAGTAAGAGCGAGGCTTTCAAATCCTCCCCGTAACTTCCTCTTGCAAAAAAAAAAAAGGCACCTCCAAAACAGCCCTGTTGATGTTTTGAGCAGTGCAGCATCCTCTTGATACACACATGTCCCATATCAGCAAGTTCAGCAGAAAACCAGGAAATCAAGTTGAGGAGAGACCCGGTCAAAACTGTGTGGAGCAAGGGACCCGTGGGCCTCTAAGATACTATTGTTTATCTAATTTATACAAGGAGGCATGTAGGGATTTTTTAAATGCCAGGGAGGTTGTATGCCAAAACAGACAAGGCTAGGTAGTCATCTGTCTGCAGCAAGGAACTGCTGGAATTGGCTTTAATCACTGATGTCAGCTGCAGGCTTACTGTAAACAAGTACTCAGGGCAGCCTCAGTCCCCACTCTTCTACCACCCCAGAAATTTCGAAGAGGAGCATGACTGTCACTCTGATTACATACTGCTTGTGTAAGTAAACAGAATCCAGAAGACACAATGCCACTTTACATGGCAGATTGCTGTTTAGAAAGGTTAGAACACAAACACTTTCAGATAATTACAGCAACCCAGGAGCTGTCACTCAATTGTCATCTACTAACCACTATCACCCAAAGACTGAAACCCAACTCACTGGTGTTCCCAAACACTCCTGAAAAATGTAAAAAGACCCCCCAAGATTTGCTCCAAAACCCACTGGTTTCCTCATCTGTGCTGGAAGGTATCTAGAAGAAGACCCAGGCAGAACACTGATCTGATCAAGATTAACTCCTGATACCACTTGGCTGCTATGCACCGTGCACCACCAGCGTGTTTACGCTACTGGCAAGTTGCAGAAGGGCAGGAAATGCTGAACCTGACATGATCCAGTCACAACAGAGTCAATATTGACATTCTGCTCACTCAAACACCGCCAGGGAGGGAGGAACAGAGGGAACACATCCCAGTGCTGGCTGGGCAGGTGTTTTCAGAATTTGGCTTCCAAACACTAATTTTATAATCTCATCCACCCCTTTTCAGCTCCTTCACTCAATCTAAAAATTAACATTCCACTCGGCCGTCCCACAGCCCTGAAGCTTCAAGGAGGCTCTCAGAAGTACAATTCCCCTTCAAACCTTTACACGAGCAGTATCTAACCCTGCAGCTTTAGCAGGAAAACTGAAGGAAGTAGGTCTTTAGTTAGAAATTTTAACTAGCAATCCCACTGACTTCTGACGGAGTTCTGGCCAGGAGAGAGGATTTGGGGCTGCAACCTGATCTGAAGCTGTGATAGGGAAGTGAGAATGTGTTACATTATAGGCAAGGCACTTCTGAGAGGAAAAATGGATGTATCTCTTCAAGGGAAATAGAAGGAGCAATGTCATAATCTCGTAAATCTTACTCCTGTTTTAACAGGGATCCAAGTACACACATCACAGTGACAGGTATTTTCTGTCCATCTCACCACACCCTTCCCATCTCCTCCCCTCATCCTGCTGACGCCACCCTCTCAGGAAGCGTCAGTTTAACACTGCGAGTTAATCTCAAACTACAGCTTTTCCTCTTTGTTTCACTTTCAAGAACTTGGCTGTGCTCACCACCAGGACCAAGCACTCTTCACTGAGAATGAGTCTCTCTGAAAACACTGTCCTCAGCATTCAGTACTTCGTTGCAGGGATCAACCCTCTGTATCAGACTAGAGGGCTGACAGACTGCAAGAAAGAAAAAAAAAAAATCTATGGAAAAAGCCCCCTCCAACTTATTTTTCCTAGCGGCCTAACACTCTGCAGGCGGTTTTCCCACTACAAAACTCAACAGTCTGCAAGGTAAATTTGATTTTAACTCTTGAGAGCCATTAGGACCATGGGGCACCAGCAGTTTGTTGGGTTTTTTTTATCCACTGCCCACCTCCAGCTACTGTTTTAGTGTTTTCCAAAGCTACACCAGCAAGTTTGTGATGTAATCTTGCCAAGATGTAACTCGAGTTCCTGGCTGTACCTCCTGGGTGTCACCAACTCCCTCACTAGCCCATGACTACTTGTTTGC